TTTTCAGAGTTCCATTTGTGAGCCACAGCCATGTTTTTTCTTTGTCAGTTTTGCTCTCAATTTTTCCCAGGAACTGTCCATGGAGAGCCGCCTCCTCCTCCTTCTAGGTTCACTTTAAGATTGCCATAAGTCAGAAGCAACTTGAAGCTAGCCAACAACGAATAGAGATGAATGGATAGAGTTTTGTAGAGTTGGGATTAGACACAAATGTGGCCACTTCACCCACCCACTTAAAAAATCCCCAAGGGCTGAAGGGTGAAACCAAAGCAACATGCAATGCAATTTAGAGAGCAGGGAATAAAAGGGATGCTGCAAGTTTAGTGAACAGAGAATCCTTAGCAAATGATGAAGAAAGAATGAGGAATAAAATGGAACAGTTGCGAAGATAAACAGATACATACAGTTCTACAAATTTTCATTACAAGGTTCCCTTTGTGCCAGAATACTTTCAGACTACATTAACTGTCAGAATAACCAAAAATAAGCAAAATCAGTTGAACTAGCTTTCACATTTTATTTTGTCAGGACAGAGGAAGCTTTTCTAGTTGTTCATTCTTAGTTTGTCCTTAAGTTGAATGTTTTGTGCTCTTCAAAACAAAAGGATGTGAAGTGGAATTCTCAAAACAATGATTCCTGAAAAGCTATGTTTTTATTTCCTTTTGTTCTCAAACACTAACCACTGTAATGTAAAAATACAATTGCATATCCTGCATTGAAGTATGCTGAATTGTACTTCTAATTTGTTTCTCAAAGGTTATTTATTTTGCTTTTGTTGCCAAACATTAGAGAATACAATTCAAAAACATTACACTGTGTCCTCCAACAAAGCATGTTACTCTTAGTTGGGGCTTCCTATTGTTTTCTCTGACATAAAAAAGCGCTTAAAGCTCTCTTTGAATGAAATTACATCAGCACTGACACTTTGTAGCTCAATAATGCATAACTTAGTACATATAAAAAGAGAGAATTCTTTAAATAAAGATATTGCATGCTGGTGGTGCAGAGGGTTAAACCGCGGATCTGCTGAATTTGCTGATCGAAAAGTTGGTGGTTCAAATCTGGGGAGTGAGGTGAACTTCCACAGTTAGCCACAGCTTCTGCCAACCTAGCAGTTTGATAACATGCAAATGTGAGTAGATCAATAGGTCAATACCTTCTGCAGGAAGGTAACGGTGCTCCATGCAATCATGGTAGCCACATGACCTTGGAGGTGTCTATGGACAATGCCGGCTCTTTGGCTTAGACTTAATGTCAGGGGAAAACCTTTACCTTTTAATGCATTAATGCAGAGCTATTGTTTAAGTTTTTAAAACGCAAACTACAAAAAACTATAACTGGCTTTTGAAAAGGAAGACTGTAGGCCACTCATGCCTAACATATTATTGCTCAAATGTTCTGGACTTCATGTCCTATATTCTTTTTATTGTGTTGTCAAAGGCTTTTATGGCTGGAATCACTGGGTTGCTGTGAGTTTTCTGGGCTGTATGGCCATGTCCCAGAAGCAATCTCTCCTGACATTTCCCCCACATCTATGGCAGGTATCCTCAGAGGTTGTGAGGTGAGGACCTGACAACTTCTGAGGATGTCTGCCATTGATCCAAGTCACACCACTGATCAATTTATTTCAGTATTATCCACACTGACTGGCAGCAGTGTCCCAAGTTATCAGTTATATCCCTTTTGTATCCTTACCTGGAACTGGCAAGGATTGAGCTGAATTTTTCAGATGTAAACCATGTAATTTAGCACTGTACCATGAGCTTCCTTAATTTAAATTAATCGATTATTTAGTGGGCCAAACTGTGGTTCCCAAACTGTGGTCCATGGACCACCAGTGGTCCCCAACAATAAAAATATGGTCCGCAGTCTCACTATTACTATACTGTTGCCTCAAAACCATGCGGCAACAAGAGCAACTGGTCTCACAAAATCCTCTTATAGTGCCAAGGCAACGGAGATGTCAGGAAGGGAGAGGCTGACTACCCATGAAAGACTACTACTACCAGATCTGATTTTCCGTGGGCGAGCAGATGGTGACTACTCGATGGCACATGTTCTGTATCAGAAACTAGAGCCAATGTGGTCTATCCAAGGCAATTTTCTGAATGAGCACCCCAAACAACCAAATTGAATCTAAAGTTGACCAAAACCGATTTGTAACCCTTTTGGTACTAATGTTGGAGAGTGGTCCCTGTTCAAATGGTCCCTGGTCAAGTGTCCCTGGTCAAAGTGATCTCTGGTCAAGTGTGTAGCAGAATGAAAATCACACATAGTTCACCTCTTTACCAATCCATATACTGTCTTGCTAAAGAAAAGATATGCCATGCAGATGATCTGTAAAGAATAAAGTTTTTACTCTTTGTTATGCAGAGCAACATATAAACAGTCATGTAAACAGTTACATTGACCCACACAATGTCCTTTGAGAGAGATTTAAATGTTCCTTGGGTGTCTGTGTGAAGGATTGTCTTCCAGAAGCTCAGAAGTAGAAAAATATACTAACTTTTCTTGGCAAGCTCCTGTATAGAAAACCTAAACATGGAACTGTTGCCAAAACTCCCAGACTCAGCTAGTGTCCTGGGCATAGCCCAACCAATCAGCTTTATGCTTTGCATTTTTCAGTTAACACACTCACCAACTGATTTTTACATGCTCCAACGAAGTGGTCCCTGGTCCAAAAAAGGTTGGGAACCAAAGAATTAAATGTTCATTAATGTCCTATCCTAGATATCCATTGAGATACTGAATCTAATTGTGTTTTAAACTAGATTCTACTCACTTTGCCAGAACTAGCAACTCCCTTTCCTTTATATAGCCCCTTCCTGAATACCCTAAAAGATTACTCTGGAGAGATGGGAAGAAAGGAGGGGAGAATCATAGATTCTGCCAGCAACAATGGGTCCTGCCTAAATGTGTGTTTCATTTCCTGTGCAAACTAGACAGCACTCTTCAAGATGGATATATCTCTCCTATTCTTAAACTGATCCTGGCCAAAGAATTGTGACACATTTGGTGCAAGTGGAATGCTTGCTTTGTTTTTAGGGACACATTGACCCAGGAAATATTAGCTATCCTTATTCAGTGTGGAAAGAAAAGACAGTAAGTTAAAAATATCTGAAAGTGTTGGGTTAAATATTTCACATGTTTAAGTCTGTAGGAGTGGGACATGGCTATCTGCAGAACAGTTGATGTTCTGCCTTGTGTTATACAAGCTTTTAATAACATTTCTGCAATTCTGGCAGCCAGGGCCTTTGCTCCGTAACATCTTCAGGGTGCTGTTTTGTCTGTTTCTATTTAAAAAGTCTACTACTAAAAATTAGATAACTAAGAGAAATAGGCTGAAAAGGGGAGGATGTGAGTTTTTTAGATGAAATCATAAAGTATTTTTGATCACCACAGTTTTGTCTATTCAGTTCTCTGAAAGCCCTTTTATCCGAATGTAATAATATGCAGGGGCGGCTCAACCCATTACGCAAAGTAAGCATTTGCAGTATAGTTGATTTTGCCCAGGGGTGCTCTTGAAGCGCTCTTGGGGGAAAATAGACCTTGACATATGCGAGTTGTAGTTACTGGGATGTATAGTTCACCTACAATCAAAGAGCATTCTGAACTCCACCAATGATGGAATTGAACCAAATATGGCACACAGAACTCCACGATGAACAGAAAATATATATCAGTGATTGGTTGGGGGGGGGACCAAAATACTGTTTGCTTACCATTGAAAATTGCCTAGGGCCGCCTCTGATAATATGTCATGTCCATTTTGCAGACTGAAAATTGAGATCCTGAAAGTTACATTATTAAGTGGCTTGATTCATGTTACATCAAAAGTAATTTGTTTAGAACAGTGTTTCTCAACTTGGGGGTTGGGTCCCCTGGGGGAGTCGCGAGAGGGTATCAGAGGAGTTGGCAAAGACCATCAGAAAACACAGTATTTTTTGTTGGTCATGGGGGTTCTGTGTGAGAAGTTTGGGCCAATTCTATATTGGTGGGTTCAGAATGCTCTTTGATTGTAGGTGAACTATAAATCCCAGCAACTACAACTCCCAAATGTCATGTCTATTTTCCCCAAACTCCACCAGTGTTCACATTTGGGCATATTGAGTATTCATGCCAAGTTTGGTCCAGCTCCATCATTGTTTGAGTCCACAGTGCTCTCTGGATATAGGTGAACTACAACTCCAAAATTCAAGGTCAATGCCCACCAAACCCTTCCAGTATTTTCTCTTTGTCATAGGGAGTTCTGTGTGCCAAGTTTGGTTCAATTACATTGCTGGTGGAGTTCAGAATGCTATTTGATTGTAGGGAAACTATAATCCCAGCAACTACAACTCTCAAATGACAAAATCAGTCCCAATGAATGAAAATACATCCTGCATATTGGATGTTTACATTGCCATTCATAACAGTAGCAAGATTACAGTTATGAATTAGCAACAAAAATAATTTTATGGTTGGTGGTCACCACAACACGAGGAACTGTATTAAGGGGTTGCGGCATCAGGAAGGTTGAGAACCACTGATTTAGAACGATGATTTAGGACTAATGTTTGAGAAAACTTTAGCAGAAAGTCTACAATAAAAAAAAACTAAGTATATTCATGATTTTTTTTGTTATAGTTTTCTCTAAGCCGCATCTCATTTCCTTCAGCACCCATATTAAAACAATAATATTACCAATTCTGTTAATTCAAGAAAATAATTTCTAAATGGAAAACTGTTGGTTCATAACCTGTGAAAATACAGCAAAGAATATGATTTTAGAAACAGACCTAGAAATGAGTATGCATTTTGCAAAGACACAGGGGACTTCATCTTACTATTGTATAAATAAAATACTTGATAATCTAGTGCTATTGTTGCATATAAAGATAGAGATCTCTGGCTCACCGAATGGAGAGAAGAGGATTTAGGACCAACAGGTGGTCTTGAGACAGGCTGGCTGAGGGTCTATTCCCAGCTATCTGAACAGTGTGTTGATATTTGAGGCGTTTTCTTTCCTTTCTACACTACTCTTTCTACCTCAAGAGTAGCAAGCAGCCTTTAGCAATGGCAATAAGAAATGACATTAACAGGACCATTAGAAGGATAGCTCAGTTTTTTTATTGGTTCCCTAAGGCTTTGGGTAACCCACGAAGAAGGAAAATCAAACTTCTCTGCAAATCTTCTGGTAGGTTGTTCTTTCTCTTCTCAGGGGTGAAACCAAATGATGAAGTATTCATTTTTAATAGATGTGAAGTGCTTTCTTCTGACATCCTGTGTAAAATGTTAGTGGTGCTACTTTTAAACTACCTAATTCTAAGACATGTACCTAGAACTAAAGATATGTGAGCCTGGCAATGTGTCATGGATACTAAAACTGAGCTTAGCTCTTTGCCACACAGACAACAACTCTTGGCCACACCAACCATTATTTAATTCTAGAACAACCAATTTGTGGGGGGTGGGGTGGGGTGGGGTGGGGTGTCATTTTGTTGCTAGTGTCTGTTAATAACTTAGGGATCTGACTGTAGATATAGATCTATTTTCTGCCATATTTAGACAACATTCTTGTCCATCAAGGGGGCCTGACTGTTTATAAAACTATTGTCCTCCCAACCCTGCTATACACCTGTGAGACATGGACTGTCTACAGACGTCACATGCGACTCCTGGAACGTTTCCATCAGCACTCTCTCTGGAAAATCCTACGAATCTTCTAGGAAGATAAGCGGATAAATGTCAGCGTGTTGGAAGAAGCAAAGACAACCAGCACTGAAGTGATGGTCCTCTGCCATCAACTCTGTTGGACCAGCCACGTTGTCTGGATGTCCAACTACCGTCTCCCAAAGCAGTTGCTCTACTCCGAACTCAGGAATGGAAAACGGAATGTCGTTGGGCAGGAAAAGAGATTTAAAGATGGGCTTAAAGACAACCTTAAAAACTCTGGCATAGACACTGAGAACTAGGAAGCCCTGGCCCTTGAGCGCTCCAGCTGGAGGTCAGCTGTGACCAGCAGTGCTGTAGAATTTGAAAAGGCATGAATGGAGGGTGAAAGAGAGAAATGTGCCAAGAGGAAAGCGCATCAAGCTAACTCCGACTGGGACCGCCTTCCACCTGAAAACCAATGCCCTCACTGTGGGAGAAGATGCAGATCAAGTATAGGGCTACACAGTCACCTATAGACCCACCAGTACACTGATCTTGGAAAACTATCCTACTCGGACAACGAGGGGTCGCCTAAGTAAGTAAGTAAGTAAGTGGACAGTCGGGGCAGTTGGATTCAACTGAATAGTCATCTCCATCCTATGAAATACTGGGATATCTATGTTTTCAGGTACTTAGAATTGTATGCCAGAGATATTTCATGATTCATCAAACTACAAGTCCTAAGGTATAATTGCACAATAGTTGTGTATTCTGTAAGTCATACAATGAAAGCATCATACAGATAGTTTAGAAGTAGGCTGCAGTTTGGTGAGGCACTAGAGATATCTGAATATATAGGTGACTATATATTTGGTAGGATTGAGCCATGGCACTCAAAGTGGTATAGGTGTGACAGACTTGCTCCTCATTAATGTGTCTAATTCCATCTTAGACCTCTCTTAATGCTAGTGGCCATCTGTCAGGGGTGATTTGAATGCAATATTCCTGCTTCTTGGCAGGGGGTTGGACTGGATGGCCCATGAGGTCTCTTCCAACTCTTTGATTCTATGATTCTATGATTCTAGTGACTTTAGGGGATATTCTTAATTATTAATATTGTCAATCAACTTTAACCTCTCTGAAGGCACTAGAATTCATCAGTGGGTCATGGTCCTAGTCCATAGGGCTTCTTTCCACACAATGGCATTTTATCTGACTGAGAGACCTCATATTCTAGTATTAAAAGAGAGAGAAAGAAATCTTTCGCTCCATTTTCTTCACATTGCAGGCTATTTTAGAAAGGCTTTCATGGCCAGAATCACTGGGTTACTGTGAGTTTTCTGGTCTATATAGCCATGTTCTAGAAGCATTCTGTCCTGACATTTTGTGTGATGGCACGAGTGGCGCCACCTATGGGAAGAACTGTTAGTTGCAAGATTTAAACTGTTGTATTATGCTTAATCCTGCCTTTTTACCCCGCTTATGTATAGTTAATAATAATAATAATAATAATAATAATAATAATAATAATAAACCTTTATTTGTACCCCGCTACCATCTCCTGCAGGACTCAGTGTGGCTTATAAGAGGCCGAGCCCAAAGTACATCATTATCAAAAACACACAGACAACAATACAATGCAACAATAAATAAGCAAGCAATAATACAGTAATAAAAGCACAACACTGTTAAAAACCGGTGGCAGGGCCAAATGTTGTAGTTAAAATTCTAAAAATGCTGGGCATGTCCAGGTGAGGTAGACGGAATATTTTGGGAATAGAAGGGTGTGCAGACAATTCTAACTTTCTCATAAAGTGCATTAGGGACAATTGCTTGGGATTCCTTAATCTGGGAAGGCACACTGGAACATCCATGTTTTCAAGCTCCTTCTGAAGACTATTAGTTGGATTGATTGGTTATTTATAGCTGTCAATCAGTGTTGTTTGCACCAGTTGAATTGCTTTCTCAAGTTCAATTGTTTGGCTCCACCTCTTCTTGGAGGAGGGGAGTGCTTCCCTTTTTGCATTCTGCCATCAGAGTTTCTATCAGATGGACATAAGAGACTTGGCTCTAAAAGCCCCTGCTTAAATTATCTCTCAGCACCAATTCTAAGGTTTTTTACCCTTGGGACTCATGCTTTATGTCCAGATCATCCTGGACAACATTGAGGAGACCCAAGCCCCTTCAAACCGGTTCTTTTGGCACCAGAGGAAGGTCTTGTCCCGTCAACATAGGCCATTGGACTGGGGTTGTGTTTATTCCGATATTCATAGCCATTGAGGAAAGAGAAAACAGGAAAAGCTTCTCAGCTGCAAACTCCTTGGACTTCAGAGATTGTAAAGTATATTTCCTTTATCCCTGTTGAAACATCAAGCTTATGCCTGAAAAAGATAACTCATTGTGAACAATAAATACCATTTCGAGTTATCTGTTGTGGTCTTTGGGAGTTCCAGTTTCCTAAAGGAGGGCAAGAAGCAATCCCCTGGGGAAAGATGTCACGTCCATGCCTCTTCCACTAAGAGCTATAGCCCCCAGGTGCGACGGCACATTTTGCCCACAACTATGGCAGCCATTCTCAGAGGTTGAGGGGTGTGTTGAAAACTAGGCAAGTGATGTTTATATATCTGTGGAATGTCCAGGGTGGGAGAAAGAACTCTTGTCTGTTTGAGGCAAGTGTGAATGTTGTAATTGGCCTTCTTGATTAGCATTTAATGGCCTTGCAGCTTCAAAGCCTGGCTGGTTGCTCTTTATTTACTGTCCTGATTTCAGAGTTTTTTATACTGACAGCCAGATTTTGTTCCTTTTTATGGTTTTCTCCTTTGTGTTGAAATTGTCCACATGCTTGTGGATTTCAATGGCTTCTCTGTGTAGTCCGACATGGTAGTTGTTAGAGTGGTCCAGCATTTCTGTGTTGAAGTTAGGGTGACTAGGAGGTTTAACACATAGGTCACCATAAATCAAAGTGGACTGCAGTTAACAACACAACTTAAATAAATTTTTTTAATCGTGTCAGAAGCAACTTGCGAAACTGCAAGTCACTTCTGCTGTGAGAGAATTAGCCGTCTGCAGAGATGTTGCCTAGGGGATACCTGGATGTGTTACCATCCTGAGGGAGACTTCTCTCATGTCCCCGCATGGGTAGCTAGAGCGGACAGATGAGAGCTCACCCTGTCTCATAGATTCAAACTGCCAACTTTCAGGTCAGCAGTTTAGCCAGCACAATGGTTTAACCCATTGCGCCTCCTAATTTAAAGAAGTGATTTTTTTGTTGTTGTTGTAATGTTCTGTTTTCAACACTAGAGGGAAACCAATCATGCTAATCTAGGTTGTTTTACTTTGTTTGTTTGTTTGTTTTGTGTGTCAGGAGTGACTTGAGAAACTGCAAGTCGCTTCTGGTGTGAGAGAATTGGCTGTCTGCAAGGATGTTGCCCAGGGGACACCCAGTTGTTTTGATGTTTTTAACATCCTTGTGGGAGGCTTCTCTCATGTCCCTGCATGGGGAGCTGGAGCTGATAGAGGGAGCTCATCCGTGCTCTCCCCGGATTCGAACCTGCGACCTGTTGGTCTTCAGTCCTGCCGACACAGGGGTTTAACCCACTGCGCCACTGCGCTAGTTGAAACCCATGATAGGGCCAGCCACCATAAATGGGAGGTAACTGGAAGAAGGCACAGAGCAACAAGAACACATGTAGCATAGTTAACCTAGGTTAGAGGTATGAAAATTTCAATCTTGCTTCAATTTCTGAGAAAATAACCACCTGGTACGTGTGTAATAACTTTTGGTTTATAAACTACTGGTTTTAATAAAGGTTTTAACAGAAGTATTTAAAAAAAATCAATCTATTTATCATCTATTTATCTTGTTCTGTTTGTATAATACTTAGACCAGCTTGTAATCAAATATTTAAAAAATAAAGGATCTATAGCAAGTTCTGTACTGCAGCCGAATTAAACAATCAGGTTGAAGCAGAAGTAAACTAAAACATTTTTAAAAACAATGCAATAGTATTGGTTTACATGACCCTTTGAAAAACAAAATATTCTTTCCCTCTTGAGTAGGGTACAACCCTCTGAAGAGGAAAACTTCCACAAATGACTAGACAACTGCTCATATTTTCTCATTCCTTATTGCTACTAAAAGATAAAGACAAGGCCAGCACTATATTTGAAAAAAGGGGTTTTTTGTGTATCAGGAGCGCCTTGAGAAACTGCAAATCGCTTCTGGTGTGAGAGAATTTACCATCTGCAAGGACGCTACCCAGTGGATGCCCGGATGTGGGAGGCTTCTCTCATGTCCCCACATGAGAAGCTGGAGCTGACAGACAGGAGCTCACCCCCCTCGAACCACCAATCTTTCAGTTTAACCCATTGCGCCACTGGAGGCTCCATTGGAAGAAAGTGAGGGATTTGTTCCAGTGGAAAGTTTGGGAGGCAACAGCATGGGTTGCAAAAGTCAACTGGGTGCCACACAAAACAGCCCACTCTTCTAAGCTGATTTAATGCTTTCCAATTTAGAAGAGGGCAGTGTCCCATGACTAATTT